GGGGCGCCCCCCAGAGTATGGAAAAAATTGCCCCCCCCCGCCCGGGGGGGGGGGGGGGGGGGGGGGCCCTGTCCCGGAAGCCCCATCAAAATATAGACAATCCCGCGCGGAGGGGGGGGGGGGGGCGCACGCACACCCAGGGGGGCACAACCGGGGACCCCCCAAAAAAAAAAAGACAACAACAAGTTGGGAGGGGGGGGGGGGGAAGCCACGGAACCCCCAGCAAATGATAAAATAACCTGTAAATGCGGCCACGAGAGTTCCAAGACAGGCTCGTCCTCCTCAGGATCGAAGTCGTCGGTTGCCGGGGGCAACGCTCGACACACGTTCGCCGACACCATCTGCATGATGCACGGATACAACGACTCCGTAAGCATCTTCTCCCCCGGCTGCGGAGGAGAAAACAAAACAGACACAGGAGACACACAGCCGGGGCAACAGGACGGACGATGATGAAGGGGACACACACACGCCGAGGAGGGGGGGGTAGGGGGGGGGGGGCAAAGAGGCATCAGTATGCGGATTCCAGATTTAGCTGATTATCAGTGTAGGCTGGGGTGGGGTGGGGGGGTGGGGGTATCGTTCGCTGGGCTGTTCGAGTCAAAAACACGTCAGCTGTGGATTGGTACAATGCTGCTGGCTGCGTGATTTTCATATTACATCGCCCCTTGATGACACTGCTGTGCTCCCATCAGCCCACTCGGGAGGGATGACTTGAATCATATACCACATTAGTACGCATACACATCATACCATCAACCATGGAACATCATCGTTCCACCCCCTGCTCCCCCTCCCCTCCTTACACATAAAACAAGCACTCAGCCTCGTTGTCGTTGTCATCACTTCGATCGACGCACAGCACGAGGCCCAACCGTGCCGACAACCCACTACTCTTGCCTCATGAGAACAACATGGGAGCCAACGGACGAACACCGCCAAAATGCCTTCCACAAGCGCACGAACTTCCCAAGACGGGAATACACGGGTCGAGGAGCAATACTGCCAAGGGGCGGAGAGATGGTACCCCCCCTAGACCGACTTTCAAGGCTCGATAACTCCACGACCAAGATTGTCTGTACCGTACCGTGGCATTCAGTAAGAGTCGGAGAGATGGCACCCCCTGCACAAATTTTCAAAGCTCGATTGCTCCACAACCAATGGGGAGCGACAAGAGCCCGATAGGTCTACGGAAAGACCTCGATGAGAAGTTTCCAAATGCGCCATTATTGGTGTTGGCATGCATATAAGATTGGTTGTGGAGTGATCGAGGTGCGACAAATCGGTCTAGGGGGTGCGCCATCTTTCCGCCTCTTACGGCATGCGCACAACATCTACAGTGACTCCAAAGGGCGGCACTGCAGACTGCGGAGCTACAGTAACTCGTGACACCCACAAACATTACTCCCAAGAAGTGATAACGTTTTCATCCCCCTCATTCCCACCGATCGTCACAGCGGATTTAAAAAAAAATACATGTTATTTTGGGAGTAAATCGCCTGGATTTATCCTAGACTCCCCTGTATCTAGATATTTACGATGTAGTGTGCGTTCGTTGTTCCTGAACGAAAAATGGGGAAAAAAAATGAAAACTAAACTGATTTGTTTTTCGAAATCAAACAGGTCCATCGGCGTATATGTCGTTTGCAAAAAAAAAAAGAAGGAAAAATTACCTGTGTGTTGACGAAATCCAACAGCTCCATCAGCGTTTGTCGCTTGAGCTCCTTCCCCCGGGTTTCCGTCGCATCGATGTTGTTGCCCATGCCCATCTCGTTGTCGAATCGGTAGACCACCGTGCACAGCTCCACCTTCTGCACGAACAAGGCTTCCCTCTTCGCCAACCCGACATCCTTTAACAAGGGGACTTCCCGCACCTGCCCTCTCTCTCCCGAAGCCATAGAGGCCCTGCGGAGAACCAGGCGCGGACAGACAGACAGACAGATGACTTGCTGTTACAACACAATTTGTGAAACCACGCATGGACAGACGGACAGATAGCGGATACAACATCATTTGTGAAACCAGGCACGGACGGACAGACAGACAATAAAACGGATGTAACACTCTGTGGGGGGTGGGGAAGGGCGCGACGTACTCATGTTTAGCATGCCTTAGCTGTTGTCAGACCATTGACCACGCGCTCTCCACAGAACGGAGCATTGTTCCCACGGGACATATCTCCAGTTGTTCGGTGGGAGCGATGCAATTCTCTCCCGACAACGTTCACAGAAGCACTACTGCCAAAAGCGGGTAACAAAAAAAAAAAGAGTGGTGGAAAATTGTCCCACGGAGAACGAGGTTGAGGCTTCGGCTCGAAAGAATAAACTCGCCCGAAAGAGCACACCGATCACGTTGTACCGTGGTGACTTCACGCAACATATGCATAGGAGCATGAAAATGCTACTATCGACCAACTCCTCTTTGCAACTGAATCGCAGAAAAAGCACCAGAAACTGGAAAGGAGGAGACCAGCGGCTGCTGCTGTACAGGCAACAGCGTGGGGGTATCGTAGACGAACACCGACCCCACAATGTCAGTTGCGCAAAGCAAACTACACTTGCGCGAAGCAACTTCGTGTTGAAGCAAAAAGGTCCTGGCAAAAATTGTCTTGCTACTTGGTCTCCACGTTCAAAAAGAGAAAAAAAGAAGGCCCCCAAAGAGCCTCGAAACAAGAAAAGAAGCTGATTTACGATGGCCGCAAGACCTTGCGAACGATCTCGTCGTTGGCCCGTTCGCTCTGCACGATGACACCTTCTCATCAAAACCGACCCTCCTACCGACCTCGGCAACCTGTAGCACAGTCATCAGAGTGCGAGTGATCGCACGCACACCCTACTAAATAGGCCGACTTTTTTCACCAAGGGTAGTAAAGCCTGGATTGCACCGCAACCAAACAGATGGTGTTACGGAAAACACCGACAGATGTGTAGCATACATACGTGCGAGGAGACTCCTCGACGGGACGAGACCTTACCCCAAGACCACCACCCGTTTCGGCGTTGACGGCCTCTCTCTTCCTTGCGGAGCGACCGAGCCAAGGTGTACCAACGTCGGGGACCGCCTTCGCCCGATAAAATAAATCTCATTAGGAAAATAGAACAGGGAGGGGGTACGCAGATGCTATTTCCTAACCCTGACCCTAACCCAACTTCCCCCCCGACTGTATGCTTTATCCAACATGTTTACGTGATAGAAGAAAATTCTTCGCACGATAAAATAAATCTCATGAGGAAAACAGAACAGGGAGGGGGTACGCAGATGCTATTTCCTAACCCTAACCCTAACCCAACTTCCCCCCCGACTGTATGCTTTATCCAACATGTTTACGAAACATAAAAAAACTACGAAGGCTACTGAGCGTCGGTCTGGGGGAGTGCGCCATGGCTCGGCACTCATAACACGCGCAGCAGTACAGTACCAACCTGAGGACGCACGGCCGTTGCTTCTGCTCCGGAGAATCTACGATCAGACGTGCCGTACAGAGGATCTACGTTCTGAGGATCCACTATAAGGGGGCACACAGAATATAGTGTTGACCTTTGCGGTGATGTCTCCATACTGGTCACGAGCGAGAACACGTACGGCCCCGAAGTATTGTTTCCCTTGTCCGAAATGTACCGAAAGTAGTTGTACGGAACGGACAAATGTTTTCTAAACGTCACCCCGGGCCCTCTGATCCCACTATTAATATTTGACTGTGATACCTGCAGTCAGATCACGGGATCGACCGTTCATGATGGACGTATGCAAATACAGCAAGCAAGTGCTGGGAAATTTCTCGCACTCTTGTTGGCTGGGTGCACAGCAACACTGTTGTCTTGACAAATCCCTTCTTGTTTGACAGGTAGGAGTATTGTACTTCGTAGACGGTGCACGTAACGTGGTACTTGGTTTGTACCCCCAATCAGAATTCTTGAAATGAGACACGCAAGGCCCTACATACTAAATCAGTATGTGGATAGCAAATGGCATGGCGGGAACAGAAAAAAACAGCATTGCTACGGTAGACGTACAGTATTTGCCGGATTATTTGCTGACATGAACGGCATGTCTGGACGGAGGCACCTGTATAGCTGTGTTCCTGTCGACGGGCTAATCTTACGAGTGCTGCTGTACATTCAACCTGCAAGCCCCGCGTGTTCATAACCTCGCAACCAGCGAATGCATGCTGGTTGGGGTGTTGGGTCATGGCCGCAGTCACAGGGTGCCCAGCGGATCCGAGGCATGGACACGCGAACACGCTGCAATCTCTCGCAAAAAAACGTCAAGCGAACACCCATATGTACGTCCGTTTCGTGAGGCAGGCAGGCCTGCTTCTTCACTACTACAATACGAATTTTTCACGGCAGAATGAAGCGGACTGGCGTGCATACGCCACCGTTTGCGACTAAATACTTAGCTTGCGGCCACCAGTTCGCCAGTTGTTTGCGTGTAGTTGGAGGTAGACACGAAACCATGGCAACCAGCAGGTTTCCAGCCAAAAAGCTACACCACGGCGCTAGGCCTCACTAGGCCTGACCCACCCCTAAATCGAAAATACACATCCCAAGCTTGTTTGGTGTGCAGTGAGGAGGCCTATGCATAGGCCGTTGTACCGAGCTAGTACTGGAGCACGCTTCGCGCGCGCGAACGTTGGCGTACGCACGCACGCCGCGCAGAATTAGGCTACCGACACGACCGCGCCTACAAGTTTGCGTTAAAAAAAGAGCATACCACAAAAAAAAAAATATATATATATATATACCACCCACCCACCTTTGTTCAACACTGCTGTCGTTGCTGATTCCCTCCGGGCCCTGCGAAATCATCAACTGCTAGTTTGCGTAAAAAAAAAAAAAGTGGAACACTTCTGCTGCTGTTGCTAATTTCCTCCGGGCGTTGTGACACCTCAGCTAAGTTAGCTAGTTTGCGCCTGCGTTAAACACCACTCAC